TAGGGTATTAAAAGTATCAACACAAGACAGAACACGAAACAATGGGTATAAATTGGATAAGATTAGATTTAGGAAAGACTTGGGTAAATACTGGTTCAGTAACAGGGTTGTTGATTTGTGGAACCAATTGCCGCGTAACATTGTGGAGGTGGGGTCCCTCGATTGTTTCAAGCATGGGTTGGACAAGTATATGAGTGGGATTGGTTGGTTATAGATAGGAGCTGCCTCGTATGCGCCAATAGGCCTTCTGCAGTTACCTTTGTTCTTATGTTCTTAAATGCCTCTAACCTCTGGTTCCAACGAGTTCGCAACAGCAACAACCCCAGCCCTCGCTAGATGCACCCCATCACGAGCATACATTTCATTTCTTCCATAGAAATGTTCCCAGTTGTCTATGAAAGATATAGCATTTGATTTGCAATATCTTTCCAGCCCGCAATTGCCACCAAGTGCCCTCGACAACCATTCATTCCCAACGATCTTTCTTGGAAGAATGCCACATATGATCGGGATTCCTCCCTTGCTCCTAACTAATTCTATGGCTTTGTTAAATTTCTTTATCAGTTCCTCACTACTAACTCGTCCAACATCATTACCCCCTGCACTAATACAAATAATGAACATAAGAACATAAGAACAAAGGTAACTGCAGAAGGCCTATTGGCCCATACGAGGCAGCTCCTATTCTATAACCACCCAATCCCACTCATATACTTGTCCAACCCGTGCTTGAAACAATCGAGGGACCCCACCTCCACAATGTTACGCGGCAATTGGTTCCACAAATCAACAACCCTGTTACTGAACCAGTATTTACCCAAGTCTTTCCTAAATCTAAACTTATCCAATTTATATCCATTGTTTCGTGTTCTGTCCTGTGTTGATACTTTTAATACCCTATTAATATCCCCCCGGTTATGTCCATTCATCCACTTGTAAACCTCTATCATGTCACCCCTAACTCTTCGCCTTTCCAGTGAATGCAACTTAAGCTTTGTTAATCTTTCTTCATATGAAAGATTTCTAATTTGGGGAATTAACTTAGTCATCCTACGCTGGACACGTTCAAGTGAATTTATATCCATTCTATAATATGGCGACCAAAACTGAACTGCATAATCTAAATGGGGCCTAACTAGAGCAAGATATAGCTTGAGAACCACACCAGGTGTCTTGTTACTAACGCTGCGATTAATAAATCCAAGTGTCCGATTTGCCTTATTACGAACATTTATGCATTGATCCTTTTGTTTTAAATTCTTACTAATCATAACTCCCAGATCCCTTTCGCAATCCGACTTCGCAATCACAACACCATCTAGCTCGTATCTTGTAACTCTATCATCATTACCTAACCTCAGAACTTTACATTTATCAGCATTAAACTGCATCTGCCAATCCTTTGACCATTTCAAAACCCTATCTAGATCAACTTGAAGTGATAGTGAGTCCTCCTCCGAATTAATTTCCCTACCGATTTTCGTATCATCGGCAAATTTGCAAATGTTGCTACTCAAACCTGAATCTAAATCATTTATATATATTATAAACAACAGAGGTCCCAGGACAGAGCCTTGAGGCACTCCACTTACAACATTTTCCCACTCTGACTTGATTCCATTTATACTAACTCTCTGTTTCCTTTGGTATAGCCATGCCCTAATCCAGCTTAATATAGCACCCCCAATACCATGAGACTCTATTTTTTTAATCAGTCTTTCATGTGGCACTGTATCAAAAGCTTTGCTAAAGTCAAGGTATACAACATCGCAATCCTTACCACTATCAACTGCCTCAACAATGCTAGAATAAAAAGATAACAAATTTGTTAAACATGAACGGCCATTTATAAAACCATGTTGCGACTCAATTATTAATTTATGTTTTTCAAGATGAAGACGAATTTTATTTGCTATTATAGATTCGAGTAACTTTCCCACAATAGACGTTAGGCTAATTGGTCGATAGTTAGACGCAAGTGATCTATCTCCTTTCTTAAAAACTGGTATCACATTAGCAACTTTCCAAAACTCTGGCACTCTGCCTGACTCTATTGATTTATTAAATATGGTTGACAGTGGGTCACAAAGCTCCTCTTTGCATTCTTTAAGCACCCTAGCAAACACTTCATCCGGCCCTGGGGATTTGTTTGGTTTGAGTTTTACTATTTGTTTAAGAACATCCTCCCTGGTAACTGAAATGGGTTTGTTCTCATTTCCCGTCATAATATCTTTCATGTTGTCAACAATAACTCCAATTCCAGCTCCCGGATAGCAGACCCTTAACCTGTTCCCCCTATCTCTGGCACAAAACGTCCTGTCTAAATACCTCACCTGGGAATCTCCCACAACCAAAATTCGCTTCGGTACCTCCTTAACTTTCTGAGGTCTTCTTAAGACCTCTGTCCTTAACGACTTTCCACTACGAGGTCTTGGTAATATTGGTCTCCACCTTCGTTTCTTCCCGATGTTTCAGCTGTCGTACCTCCTCTCGTAGGGAATCCATCTTTGCTCTCAGAGTTCCAACTGGATTCATCATTTCCTTCACTTATCCTTCCATTATTGCTATAATAATGTTACTACAATCGGAGCTCCAGCTAACACAACCTCTCACTGTGACTGCACCTGACTGACTGTGGTGCTTTGTTAATCTGTGGTGCAGCTTTGTTAATCTTTCTTCATATGAAAGATTTCTAATTTGGGGAATTAACTTAGTCATGTTTTGTACCTTGACTTTAGCAAAGCTTTTGATACAGTGCCATGAAAGACTGATTAAAAAAATAGAGGCTCATGGTATTGGGGGTGCTATATTTAGTTGGATTAGGGCATGGCTATTCAAAAGAAAACAGAGAGTTAGTATAAATGGGGTTTAGTCAGAGTGGGATAATGTTGTTTGTGAAGTGCCTCAAGGTTCTGTCCTGGGACCTCTGTTGTTTATAATATATATAAATGATTTAGATTCAGGTTTGAGTAGCAACATCTACAAATTTGCAGATGATACAAAAATCGGTAGGGGAAATTAACACGGAAGAAGACTCACTATCACTTCAAGTGATAGGGCTTTTACCTATCACTAAATAGGGTTTTTAAATGGTCAAAAAATTGGCAGATGCAGTTTAATTCTGATAAATATAAAGTTCTGAGGCTAGGTAATGATGATAGAGTTACAAGATATGAGCTAGATGGTGTTGAGATTGCGAAGTCGGATTGCAAAAGGGATCTGGGAGTTATGATTAGTAAGAATTTAAAACAAAAGGATCAATGCATGAATGTTCGTAATAAGGCAAATAGGACACTAGGATTTATTAATCGAAGCGTTAGTAACAAGACTCCTGGTGTGGTTCTTCAGTTATATCTTGCTCTGGTTAGGCCCCATTTAGATTATGCAGTTCAGTTTTGGTCGCCGTACTATAGAATGGATATAAATTCACTTAAACGTGTCCAGCGTAGGATGACTAAGTTAATTTCCCAAATTAGAAATCTTTAATATGAAGAAAGATTAACAAAGCTTAAATTGCATTCACTGGAAAGGCGAAGAGTTAGGGGAGACATGATTGAGGTTTACAAGTAGATGAATGGACACAACAAAGGGGATATTGATAGGGTATTAAAAGTATCAACACAAGACAGAACACGAAACAATGGGTATATATTGGATAAATTTAGATTTAGGAAAGACTTGGGTAAATACTGGTTCAGTAACAGGGTTGTTGATTTGTGGAAGCAATTACCGAGTAACGTGGTGGAGGTGGAGTCTCTCGATTGTTTCAAGCGCAGGTTGGACATGTATATGAGTGGGATTGGGTGGTTATAGATAGGAGCTCCCTCGTGTGGGCCAATAGGCCTTCTGCAGTTACCTTTATTCTTATGTTCTTATGTAATATTCGTATTGGGTGCACAATTATCTACTGCCACAATATGAGTATTGGTTGCACTATTATCTACCACTACAAAATGAGTGTAGGATACACAACAATCTACCGCTGACAGTAAGAGTTTGGGGTACACAATTATCTACAGTCACAGTATAGGTATTGGGTGCGCATTTATCTACCACACACAGGATGAATATAGGGTGAACAATAAAATATGTTGCGCGCAAGACTTATACATGACACAATAAAGTGCGTTGTGCACAAGACTTATACAGGGCACAATATATCTTAATCGGATCTCAGCAGATGTTTCTCCTTAGCTTTGATAATGTACCTAAACACCTTATATAAAATTCTAATAATATCTAGAATCAGAAATTTCTTGGACTGCAACTGATATAATTTATATAAATTACTAATGGAAATTAACGTATAGAATAAATAGTTACAAATTGACGGCAATTTATACTGTTAATAATATAATATAGTGTCACAATTCTGAATGTCGCAGAATACTAGAAAAGTTGCTGAGAATGTATTAGGGGACACTGTTTAAACTCTTGTAATTTTAATTTTGCTTTACCTACTACAAGCAAAAGTTTGATACAGTGAAATGTTCAAGATTTTTTTCGAAGTCAAATATTCGAGTCAAACGTTGTGCGATTTCCTGAAGTTAAATCTGATATATTGGCTGTGTTGGCAGTAGACTAATTCTGTGATACCGAATAATTTTTCAGGGAACGATAATGGGGGAAGGATGGAGCGGGTCCCATGGATAGTGAAGGTCGCAGTGGGAGAGGCTAGAGGTGAGGAGAGGAAAGGAGAAGAGCGGGACAATGTTTGAAGAGAGGGGAAGCGAGGTGGAGAGGGAGAAGAGAGCTGAGGGAAAGGTGAGAGAAGTGGGTAGAGTGGGAGTGAGGTGTGAGAGAATGATGTTGGGGATAGTGTGGGGAGAAAGGTTAAAAGAGAGGGAAGAGTATAGAGAGGTGGGATGGGGAGATGAGAAGAGAGGAGGGATAGTGAAACAAAGATGGGAGCGTTGGAAGAGGAGTGACAGACCTGAGCTCTACCCTCTGCATTATATATAAATATACAAGAAGGAACTGTGGGTAGTCGTAATACATACCTTAGTGACTAACAGATACATTCTTGAAGTCATTGACTCATAGTATCTTGGCCTGGCATGATGGACTCAATAACCTGTATAGGGTCTCCTCGATACACATTCGTGAATCCCGGGTTTAGTTTCCGTACAGGACAGAAATAGTTGGGCATCTTTCCTTTCATCAAATAAAAACGTTCACCTAAAAGTAAATATGTACACCCGAATTATACAACTGCTATGGGGTTGGATCTCGGTTCCATTACCAGAGGTGGCAACATCATATATATAATGGTACCACCTCTGGATGTGTATGAATAGACAATAGACGCACGTCGGGAGCCTTGATGGTCTCCCACGTGCGCATGCACATATTGCTTCCATCTAACACCTCCTTAATATATGTAAGAGGGTGGTAAGAGAATGTGTTAGTATGTTCCACGTGTCAGTATGTATGTACCACATGTGTGTATGTGCCACAAGTCGGTATGATCGCATGTACAACATGTCAGTATGTACGCATGTACCACTTGTCTGTATGTACCTCAAGTCAATATGTACCGCGTGTCAGTATGTACTACGTGTCAATATGTACCAAATGCCTTTATGTACAACTTGTCAGTATTTACCACACGTCAGTATTTACCACACGTCAGTATGTATCACATGTCAGTATATACCACGTGTCAGTATGTACCACGTGTCAGTATGTACGACAACTCATTATGTACCACATGTCTGCATGTGCTACATGTCAGTATGTAACACATGTAAGTATACACCACATGTTAGTATGTGCCACATGTCAGTATGTACTTCATGTCAGTGTGTATCACATGTCAGTGTGTACCCCATGTCTGTATGTCCCATTTGTCTGTATTTCCCATATGTCAGTATATACCACATGTTAGTATGTACCTCATGTCAGTATGTACCTCCTCTCTGTATGTACTACTTGTCTCTTTGTACCACATGTCTCTGAATGTACCACATGTCTGTATGTGCCACATGTCCATATGTATCATATGTCAGTCTGTATGTCCCACATGTCAGTATGTACCACATGTCAGTATGTACCGTACGTCAGTATGTACCATATGCCAGTATGGACAACATTTTAGTATGTACCACATGTCAGTATTTATCATATGACTCTATATATCACATATCGATGTGTACCACATGTCAGTATGTACTACATTTCAGTATGTACCACATGTCAGTATGTACCTCATGATACCACATGTCGGTGTGTACCACATGTCAGTATTTACCCCATGTCAGTATGTATCACCTGTTAGTATGTACCACATGTCTGTATGTACCTCATGTCAGTATATATCATTTGTCAGTCTGTATGTCGTACATGTTAGTATGTACCATATGTCAGTATGTACCAAATGAGAGTATGTACCACATGTCAATATGTATCTTATATCAGTATGTACCACATGTCAGTATGTATCTCATGTCAGTAAGTACCACATGTCTGTATGTACCACAACTCGGTACCACATATACATATGTTCCACATGTTAGAATGTACCTCATGTTAATATGTACCACATGTCTGTATGTATCTCTTGTCAGTATGTACTACATGTCAATATGTTCCACACGTCAGTATGTACTATATGTCGGTATGTACCACGTGTCAGTATCCTTCACTGCTGACTGCACATGTTTCGTACATGTAATGGAGTAGATCAGCCACACTGCTGTGTTTGTGTATGAACGGTGGGGAAGGTATACAGAGGGAGGGGTGGGAAAATGTATGGATGGAGGGGTGGGTGTATTGAGGTGGGGTTTGATGAATGGAGGGAGGGGTGGGAGGATGTATGGATGGAGGGGTGGGTGTATGGAAGGAGGGGTGGATGCATAGAGGCAGGGGTGGGTGTATGGAGGGAGGGGTTGATGTATGGAGGGAGGGGTGGATGAATGGAAGAAGCAATGGGAGTATGGGGGGTTGGGGGTGTATGGTAGTGGGGAGGTGTATGGTGGGAGGAGTGGGTGTATGGAGGAAGAGGTTGGTGTATGGAAGGAGGGGTGGGTGTATGGAAAAAGCTATGGATGTATAGGGAAAGGGGGTGAGTGTATAGAGGGAGGGGGTGGATGTATGGAAGAAGCAACGGGAGTATGGAGGGAGGAGTGAGTGTATGGAGGGAGGAGTGAGTGTATGGAGGGAGGGCTGGGTGTATGGAGGGAAAACTGGGTGTATGGAGGGAGAGCTGGATGTATGGAGGGACGGGTGGGTGTATGGAGGGAGGGTTGATTGTATGAAGGAAAGGCTGGGTGAATGAAGGGAGGGTTGGATGCATGTAGGTAGGGGGAGTGTCTATGGAAGAAGGAATGGGTATATGGAGGGAGGGGTGGGTATATGAAGGGAGGGGTGGAGGTATGAAGGGAGGGGTGGTAGTATAAAGGAGGGGGTGGAGGTATGGAAGAAGCAATTGGTGTATGGAGGGAGGGGTGGGTGTATGGCGGTAGGGGTTGGATGTATGGAAAAAAACAAAGGGTTTAAGGAAGGAGGGGCGAGTATATGGAGGGAGCGCTGGGTGTATAGAGGGAGGGGTGTGTGTGTATGTAGTGAGCGCTGGGTGCATGGGAGGAGGGGTGGGTGTATGGAAGGAGGGTTGGTTATATGAAAGGATGGGTGTATGAATGATGGATGCATTGGTGGATGTATTGAAAAGAGGTGGATGGATGGAGGGAGGAATGGGTGTATGGGTGGAGGGGTTGGAGTACTGAGAGAGAGAGTGGTAGGTGTATTAGGAGAGTGTTGAGTGTACAGAGGGAGGAGTTAATTTTTGGAGGAAGGAGTGGGTGTTTGGTGGGAGGGATGTGTATGGAGGGAGGGGTGGGGGTATTGGGAAGGGGTGGGTGTATGGAGGGAGCAGTGCATGTTTTTAGAAAGGGGTGGGTGTACGGAAGAAGGGATGGGTGTTGATAAAAGGTTGGGTTTATGGAGGAAGGGGTGAGTGTGTGGAGGGAGGGGTGTGTATTTGGAATAATTGATGGGTGTATAGAGGGAGATGTGAGTGTATGGAGGAGGTCAGTACGAAAAAAATATTGTGTCAAGTATCAATCTGAACCACAAGTCAGTATATAACACGTGTAAGAATGTACCATATATCAGAATTACCCCTTGTCAGCGCGAACCACATGTGGTATGTACACCATGTCAGTATGTACCTCATGACAGTATGTACCAAATGTCAATATGTATCATGCATCAATATGTACCAAATATCAATATGAACCACATGACAGTATGTACCACATGTTAGTAGGTACCACATGTCAATATGTACCCCATTTCAGTTTGTACCACATGTCAGTATGTGCCACATCCTGTTATGTATCATGTGTCAATATGTACCACATATCAAAATGTAAAACTTGCCAGTTTGTACCACATGTCAGTATGCACGAAATGCCAGTATGTGCCACATGTCAATATGTATCACGCGTCAGTAGTATCACACGTGGTACATACTACCATGTGCTACATTCAGCCACGTGGTACATGCGGACACGTGGTACATGCGGACATGTTGTACATACTGACTCGTGGTATATACTGACACGTGATACATGTTGTAATGTGGTACATATTGACTTGTGGTACATACTGATATGAGGTACATACTGACACGTGGTACATAATGACATATGGTACATGCTGACATGTTGTACATACTTACTCGTGGTACATACTGACATGTGGTTCATACTGACATATGGGAGAAACTAACACGTGGTACATACTGATATATATTACACATAATGACAGATGAGACATACTAAAATGTAATGCATACTGACACACGAGATACATACTGGTATGTGATACGTACTGGCACAAGTGAATCATACAGATAGATGATATGTATATGATTAATAGTTCATACTGACGAGTAGTTCATCCAGACATGTGATATATGCTGAAAGGTGGAACATTGTGATGCACTTACTTGGGTCGTCCTGGGCTCCGAACACATAAATGACACAACCTTTACTTGCCAACATAGGCAGTCTCAGGGATGACCTGGACACCCATCTAATATAATATAAAAAAAAGTTATTAACGTAAGTTTCTTGTGAGGGAAAATCGCAGTAACGTAACTGAAGCTAACAATGGCACACACTTTAGTTTAGTTCATTTATTATACTCCCGTAACCTTCCTATGAGAGCTTGAGGGAAGGTTACAAGGAACATAATGGGCTCAGCAACTGAACCTTAATACATGTTTAGCACAGCACTTAATAACATTGATGAGTTAACTACAAAGTTCGTTATATTATATATCGACAGTTTCCTCCAAGTTTTGGATTGTTTGGCGTAATTAAAAAAAGATGTCGAGATTGCATGGCGATGTCGGATCGAAACTTGCACAGTACACCAAACGCTGCGGGCGGCACCCAAAACGTTTTCACAAATTAAGTTACTAATGATGAGTTTGTGTTTCGTTGTTGAACGTTCCGAAATAACTATTTGAAGCACTGACATAAAATATATAGTTAATTCACAAGACAACCGGAAAAGAATTTCAGTTGCAGATTTTAACTGGGCAACGACAGTTAAGTATGATCACACCGGCCCAGAGTGTCTCCAGTACTGTGTGGCGGTGTCAGTGGTGCGTACCTTGGTGGACGTTTGCCAGAGGTAGGACGTTAGTTGGCCAGCAGTTAGAAGTAAAGTTACCGGAAGAGAAACGATATGGTGCCAGAGGAGAAGGAACATGTTGCCAGACGAGATGGGACATGTTGCCAGGTGAGAAGCGACATGTTGGTAGAGGAGAAGGGACATGTTGCCATAGAAGAAGCTACATGTTGAGAGAGGGAAAGATTGATTTTGTCAGTTCAGAGGAGGAACTTACCAATGGAAGTGGGAAGGCAGCAAAGTGGATGGATTATTATATCCATTGCTGCAAAATACAATTTAGAATGACCAAAATAGTTTTGCACTAAAATACTATCTTACATATTATCAATTAGAGTACGAACATTGATTGGCTCAGTAACCAAAAATGTCATAAATTTGTAACAATGTTAGATAACATCCCGGCAATGTGTTTTTTAAAGATCTTTTCAGATATATTTAACCTTCTGAGCTACAGCTCACGGGATGAGTAAGATGACACTACATCACAGATGATCAGCATCAGCTGTACAATACTTAACCTTTCACAAGATA